GAGCTCCGCTGGCTGACTTTCTTGCTCACAGACTTAGGTGAGTGGCCTAGCTTTGCCCCAGTTCTGTACGCTTACAACATGGTCATGATCCTCTTGTGTCAGGAGCCTCAATTGGAGGGCAGAGTGAAGCACATCCAGCTGATGTGCTTCCTCATGCGTGAGCTACAGCAGCGACGCCAAGCCCGCGTAGTCCACTTGGCCTCCGTGCCAACACTGCAGATATTTTTACAGAGGCGCTTGCGCGTAAAGTTCATCAGCGGCACTGTGTACATCTTGGTCTAGTTCCAGTAGCTCCTCACTTGCTAGAACCCTGATTGTGTACTACTCTTTCATATATTCTCATGACCGGCCTTGTGGCTTCTCTTCTAGTGGCCGGACTAGTAGTGCCGCCCTGGTTTGCTCTTGTCTAGTTTGTACTCTTCTTACTGGTCTTCGGACCCTTGCCTCCGAGGTTGGACTACTAGTGCCACTCTGAGCAGCGTGTCTCTTGCCAGGCACTGCCCCTTGTCTAGCCTAGGGGGTGTGTCAATATATTTATATATTGTTATAGGCTAGATAGGTGCATGCTTATAGAGAGTACAGTACCATAGCACAAAACCTGCCTGTATGCCTCATTCTAGTCATTGTGTTATTCTGAGAGTGGCAACGCATATTCATACTTTGTTATAGGCTCGTCAGGTGCATGCTCATAGAGAGTACAACATACTAGCCCAAAACCACCATGTATGCTCGTTTCTATCAAATCCGTTATTCTAAGAATAACAACCGATGCTGCTGCGACCCACTTTGATGGGTATAGTACTGGAACGTAACAGATCAGATCAATTGCTCTTTGAGGTAGAGGACGCTGGCTTTTGTCTCGCATGAGGAACATCACTGCGAGTGAAAGATATTGTTTCTATTGTGTAGACGTTTAGTGCCGAAGGTAACTTTGCACAATGTGGTGCACTTGTAAAGAAGTGAACAGCACTAATTGAGAGTATTACCGTAGCTTAATCGGATTTTTTCTGTACACAGTACAATACAGTGGGCTTCACCTATAGGTCATATTCCCTTAGCACCCGGGGGCCGACTCGGCAAATTTCCCTTTTAACGAATATTGGTCGTACGGTAGGGGCAACGTGGACTATGGGGTTCTCCCTGGAAATGGGGCGTTGTTTTTTGTGTACTGTACATGGTTGGCTTGACTGGCGTATGCAGGGACAGAGGAAATATCACCACGTCGCAAGCCTCGTCATCTGTGTTTCAACTCCGCGTTTCAACTGATTTTAAGAATTGAATCCAAAGGTGACAAACATGGACAGCAATCAAGCAAGAAACAGAATCGATTCGCCAAAGACAGCACTCGACACTAGACTGGAGTCAAAATTATACACCGACCGAAAACAATGGGATATCCGGCCGACAGACCCCAACTCCTTGCTACGCAGCACAGCCCACGCGCCGCGCCGCTACGGTCATAGGCAACGCACATGCCTTCTCACGCCTCAGCATACACGCTTTACGACATCGTCTCGTAAGACCGAAGTGCATCATCGACCGCCTAAAACCCACGATACGTAGCCGGCTGGGCGCCAAATGTCATCCACTCGCCCGCGTTGGGATATCCGGACATAATCACCGCGGCGCTGCGAACATGAGTGAGGTACTGTGCCTCCGCCGCGCCGGGCGCATTGTTAGTGTCCAGGCGGGGAGATGCGCACTCCAAACGATCAATAATTGCAGGTTCGCGGATGTCAAAAAGCACCCGCAGATCGCGCGGAGCCAAGCCAATGGACTTGGCGCAGCCGATAAGCATCTATGTCGCCATGCGCGACAGATTGCGCCGGTTCCGCACTGAGTCATTCGGAGCCGGCGTGGGGAGGCGCGTTCGCCCACCACGAATCCCGCTGGGCCTGGCCAAGCGGCTCGACATCAAGCGGATCCACCCCGGTTGGATCGCTCGTCTCGTCGTCTCGCTCGGGGGTGACGAAACAAGCCGCGAAACTCATGAAGCCTGGGCCGAATGGTAGGGCCAGCATGATTTGCTGCACCGGCTCGATGTTTGACTCCAGCTGCGGCTCCTGCTCTTCAGAAGTCACGACGAGGAGCGGTAGCAGCGGCTGCCAGGTGGCGGGCAGCATTCGCGTCCGCCAGAAGCACTTCTGGATAGTTGCGGTGTCCAAGCCAAGAAACGCACCCGACACCCATGTTACCACCTGCCACATCTCGGGCTTCCACTTCAGAACAGCGGCGACGCAGAACAGCGGCGACGGTGACGCCCGGGATCTGCCAGTGTGCGAGAACTGCCTTGAGCAGCTCCACTTTGTAACGTGCCTTCATAGCGACGATGAGACCCTGGTCCAGAGGCTGAGTGAACGGGGTCGTGTGAGGCGGCAAGTACACGAGGCGCACGTGCGAGAGAGCGCGCGTCCGAAACCCGCAGATGTCAGCTGACCTCGCGAGAGGGGATTGCAGGAGGTGACTCGAAGCGTTGTCGAGCATGACGACGATGCGGCATCCTTCCGCCATGGAGCACGCATTAACGTGCTCGAAGAACGCCGTGAAAACCTGCGCGGGGCGTATGGGATAGGCTACTGTGTATCAGAGTGTTGTTTGTATCACACGCCACACAAGTCATTGTTCATTATTAGACACGGTGCCCGCAAGCGATTGAAAGCGAGGCACATACCTCCATCATCATCCATCCAGAGGTGTTCGCGCGCCAGTAGCAGTACTTCGCAGCGTCGAATTGCTGCTTTGCGAAGCAACGGAGACGCTCATACTTGTGAAAGACGAGCGGCTTGAAAAGTTACGAGCCGTCCGCATTCACCAGCAGCGCAACGGTAAGCCGGTCCTTGCAGACTTTCTTGCCCGGGGTAGGGTCGATGCAGAATGTGTGGTCAGGGAGGAGACTGTAGTAGACGCAGGTCTCGTCGAAGTTGAACAGGTTTTCCGGGGTCAGGCCAAGCTGGTCGCACAGCCTCAGGAAGTGCAGTTGCGCGGTCAGAGCGGCGCCCTCGTCGGCAGACTTCGCTTCGCCGCTCATCTTACGCCACTTGAATCCCATTCTTCGCAGTGCTTTTTGAACCCATCCAACAGAAGCCTTAAAGTCGCTTGGCACGTTACACTTGGGGGCTAGCAGCATCGCGCGCTGCTGGATTAGAGCCGTCGAGACTGGCAAGCCAGCACCATTCGTGCTTTTCAGCCAGCTCTTGAGTCAAGCTTCCAGTAGAGGCCAATGTGGGTTACGCACCCTTCTGAACTTGGCGCGTTCGGGCCCGATGGCCCGCCACTTCTGCTCGGTTTGCAGAACTCGGTTGTGCTGCGATCCGGCTACAGACCGTATCTAGTGTGGCACCATCGCCCAATGTCTTCGAGCCGCAACGTCGGATTCTTCTTGGCGTATTGGCAGATTGCAACCTTATGCCCGATGGCTAGCGCAACATGCCGCACAGGTGCCATGTGGACGACTTTGTGGGTTTGGCGGGATCGTTCTTTGTGTCGCGTAGAGGTTGCTATTTGGGGCGTATAAATAACCCTGAGGAGTCGGAACTGCTGGCGGGGGGAACGATGTTGGGACCCCTCTGCAGCTTCCGTGGCGAGCTCGTATTGGCAGTGGGCGGACGCCGACGGATTCCGTTGGAATGGCTGGCGCAATTTTACTGGACCGCATACGAGCTGCTCGTATCTAGCGCATCATGTCAATTTTTGCGTCGGCATTGGTTGGCGAGCCTGACACGTTTGGATTTTTCTGGCTCGCCAACCACTAGGTGTGGTCGCTTTGGAAACACTAGAGCAACCCGATTGGACGCCCTTGGATTACCCGAATTGACTGTCTATATTTCTGTTCAGTTGAGACGGGTTCACTTTGCGTACAAGGAGAGGTCCTTAAGGATAAATTGCATATGGAATACTCCTGGGCGTAAAAGGGGGTCGTCTACAAGGCATATGACCTGTACCAGCATGGTCGCAGAGATTGTGCCACCGTACACTCGACAGGGCAGGATGGCTGACCTGGAAAGGCACCATGCTGAAGTCCCAGCAGTATGTTCGCCGCTGACCCCAAACACCCTCGCTTTTAAACTCAACCGATTTCTAAACCTTCAGACCGAACTGTTTCCCAAACCAAGACCAACCAACTGGTTTCACCATTTCTGCCTTCGTTTCTGCTATCGGGAATCACCACCTCGATTTCAGGGCATGTCCTAAGACTTCATTTGTAATTCGATTGACGGTTCAGTTACTCTATTTTGGATGTAACTACAGAAGATACATGCTAGCGGGACGCATATTAGAGAGTACGCCGTCCAGGGTTGTAGGTCGTATGTGTGACAGTACAGGCAGAAAACGCCTCAACATGCTAATGGGGGTCGATTCGTGGAACTGCGCGTGTCCCCCAGCTGACCTTGTTTTGCGGCCACGAAATTCGCGAGCCCCAAGGATGTTCGCTAAAGCCCCGAGGTGCGAGCCAGTGCAGAAGATCACTTTCTCAGAGGCCGTGGCAGAAGGGAAAACATCCGCAATTATGCACAATTTGCGATTGATATTTCGGAAAACAATCGACTGGATCGGATTTCTGATTCGGCGAAGCATTTCTGATTCGGCGGTCTAAATCCCAGCCAGGACATTGTGCAAGCGCACGTACTCAGATATCGTGGAATGGATTGTTTTAGACTTCGAATCGGGGGTAATCTGTTTCCGAAAAGAAAAACAACCAGAATGCCCTGCTCCCAAACAAAAAGGTAACCGGAGAGCGGGTTTTTCTTTCGTGCGGTACACTTCGGTTTCCGACAATTTGTCCCACGACCAGCCGGAACACTCGAGCACCCAATTTGGGGTCGCTTCCAGGATCCGATTCCTTTTTTGTTCGTAATCGAGTTCCGTTTGTTGAACTGTGTTTTGTGACGTCATCGACATGTACAGTCAGCCAAATGAACGCTTAGGACACGCCCTTAGCCGACACGTTCTGGCAGAAGAATACCGTAGTGCCAATTACGTAGTGGAACCTAGCCTATTAGTTAGCAAGCAAGGTTACGCTGCAACCGGCGTTGTATCACGGTCAATTTGCCAGGGTCACATCCCTCTTTAGAGTCACAGTGACAGTCAAAGCGCCGCACTCTTACGTTCGTCCTTGCTTCCAGTGACCCTGTTCCGCATCCACCACACGTCACGTCACCACACGTCACGTCATCACACATTCACAACCCTGTTTCAGCGAGCCAAGCGTCCCTCACCATCGGAAGTTGTGGCTTTTGGAACGAAGGACGAACAAAAAAAAAAAAGAGGAAAATTAACGCGGGTGAGGGACTCTTGGCCACGCTGCGTCCCTCCGTATTTCTCTAAGAGAACCTTTCTCTAAAGCGTGGCCACGGTGTCTGATTTACTCGACTCGCATCTCACCCCACTCGCCACCCGCCATATCCGGCCCGTACATGGCAACGGGTTGGCGCGATCGCTGTGCGCCGATCCCAGTGACGTCAGCAATGGGCCGCGACTCTTGAGAGAGCCACCGCGTGAAGACTCGCCGCCTCTGCCTCGATAGTAGCAGCAATGGGCGGGGTGCTTATATCGGAGACCATCCACGCGCCCGCGTTCCTCGCGGGATGGCGGCGGTGGCGCATCAGCCGGTGGGGGCGGTCCGCCATCGTCGACCCCTGCCTTGCCATCTTCCGTCGGTAGGGGGAGGGGGAAGGGGGAGGGGAGGGGAGGGGGGCGTGGAAAGGGGGGAAATGGAAGGGGGAGGGGAGGAGGAGGGGAGGGGGAGGGGAGGGGGAGGGGAGGGGGAGGGAGGGGGAGGGGAGGGGGAGGGGAGGGGGGACAGGGAGTGGGGAGAAGAAGAGAGCGAACTGTGGCGTGACGTGGCAGGGATGTGGCACATACAAATACGTGGCTAAACAATTGACATGACGGATACTCTCTCGCCCCCATCATGCCACATCCCTAGGAAGTCAGGAGCCACGCACCACAAACCGCGCACCGCCAGGAAGTCATGAGTTCAGAACATGAGCTTCCTTGCTTCTTCCAGACACCCTTACCCCCTTACGTTTCCACCTCTCTTCCCCCCCAAAAACCCCCATCCGTTTCCACCTCTCTTGGCCCCGGTGCGTGCGTGCAGGGGCGCGGATCCGAAGCAGCTCGCCTTCTCTCTCTCCCTTGGCTTCGTCACCGGCCTCTTCCCTCTCTGCGGTAACGTGGCTTGAGCAGACTCCGTCGCAGCACAGACTCCGTCGCAGCACAGACTCCGTCGCAGCACAGACTCCGTCGCAGCACAGACTCCGTCGCAGCAAGATTCCTCTTCACTCAGACCAGACAGCTCTCTCTGCCTGGCCTAAACCTAATCCATTCTCTCTCACACTTGGCTTCATCACCGGCCTCTTCCCTCTCTGCGGGTGGTGTAACTCCATCCATCCATCCATCCATCCATCCATCCATCCATCCATCCATCCATCCATCCATCCATCCATCCATCCATCCATCCATCCATCCATCCATCCATCCATCCATCCATCCATCCATCCATCCATCCATCCATCCATCCATCCATCCATCCATCCATCCATCCATCCATCCATCCATCCATCCATCCATCCATTCATCCATCCATGCCACTCGTCTTGCCTTCTCCCTTCTTGACTCCCCACACACCCATCCTTCTCCTCCTCTCTCCCATGTTCTCTTTCCCTCTGTCAACTGTCCCAGCTATCTCTCCCCATCTGTCTTCCCTCCCCCCCACTCCCCCTCAACACCCTCATCGACCAACCCCCCACCCCCCCAACCCTCCCAGGTCTGACGGCAGCGCTGTGTGCGGTGGTGGCGTATGCGCTTCGCTCCAGGAGCCATGGGCCCACCATGATGTTTGCCACGTTCCTTGCCACGCCCGTGGAAGTCAGGTCCGCTAATATGAGCAGCTGCAAGTGACACACGCATCCATGCATCCATGCATGTGTGCATGCATACACCCCTCCCCAGCGCATGTACTTGTTGCCTTTCTGGGTGGATTGGAGCCATGCATGTGCGTGTCTCCCCGCCCGTAACAGGGCATGCGTGTGTGCCACTTCACTTCGTTGCAATCTCCCCCTTCCACATCTCTGATGTTTTCCACAGAGGAAGCCTCTTAAAACCCCTTCACAAAATCTCGTTTCGTCCCCGTCTACCCCAAGTTCCCCTCCCTGCCCTTCCCTCCCTCCCAACCCCCTCATTGCCTTCCCCCCCATCCCCCCTACAACCAGCCTCATCATCCCCTACATGCGGTTGGGCGAGTATCTAGTCCGGTCCGACCACCTGGCCATCTCGCCGTCAGCACTGCTCTCTGCCCTCTCCTTCTCTCGCTCCGGAGGCAAGGCTTCTGCCCGCCTCCTCCTCGGCCTCGTCCATGCGGTCAGTGGGGTGGGGCCAGTGGGGTGGGCATAGTGGGGTGGGGTGGGGCCGGTGGGGTGGGGCCGGTGGGGTGGGGCCAGTGGGGTGGGGTGGGGCCGGTGGGGTGGGGCCAGTGGGGTGGGGCCAGTGGGGTGGGGTGGGGAAGTTGGAGTCAGTAGGAAGGTTGTGCGCTGAGAAGTTTCAGTAGAGGTTTCAGTAGCATGGTTTGGATGGGTTTAACCTACCATGGTCTTTCTAACCTTGTTCTCCGCCCCATCCTCTTTCTCATGGCCTCCTCTGCATCCTCTACCCCTCCTCCTTCCTCCTTCCTCCTTCCTCCTTCCTCCTTCCTCCTTCCTCCTTCCTCCTTCCTCCTTCCTCCTCGGCCTTCCCCTTTTCCTCGTCTCGCTCTCTCCCCCCTCACTCCAACAGGTGCTTGCGTGGCTGCTGACTGCCCCACTCCTTGTATGGCTGTTCTACCATTTGCTGCTTCCCTTCGCTGTCCGCTTCACGAGACGGGGGCCGCTGTCTCATATCTCCACGGGAATCGTCATCGGCACTAGTTCTGGCGCTGCTGGCGGCGGTGGTGGTGGTGGTGGTGGTGGTGGTGGTGGTGGTGGTGGTGTTGGTGGTGGTGTTGTTGGTAGCAGTACAGGGCATGTTGCCAGCAGTAGCAGCAGCGCGAGCAGCATCACACATCCAACACAAACACATGCAGCACATGCAGCACATGGAAGTGCCGGGGGGATGTATGCTGCTAGTGCACATGTGGCTATGACACACGAGGGTCTGGGAGATGGTTCGATCGATGTGCTGGATCCAAGGGAGGAGTGAGTGGTGGTGGAAAGGAAGGTAAGCAAGACTAGTGGGCAAATTACAATTGTCATTCCAAGCATTCCTCCGATCAACAAAACCAATGCAGTGCAGTGCTGTACCATATTCATTCTGTTGCTGCACTCCGTGCTTGTGTATAATATGACCCAATACACTGGATGGTTCATGGTTTGCTTATGGTGGAAATCCTTTGCAGGCGTTTTCTTCTGCTTGGTATGGATTGCAACAATGCAATATGCTTTGATATGATATATACGTCGCCAAAACAAACGTGTACCAAAAATGGACAAGGTAATTGACTCATCAGCCTTCATCTCATCGAACGGAAAAGGACTCTGCGCAGCAGTCCACACCTCACAGGCACCCGTAGCCAGCCACCTCCTGGCCAGTCCTGCTGCTGCTGCAGCCTCTCACAGCCTTGGCCTCAAACAGAGTCGCAAACAGAGCACTGAAGTCGTACGTACCGTACCTCCCATGCCCCTCGGCTTGTGAAGTACTGCTCTCCTCTGCTCTGAGCTTCTCTTATCATCACTCCTGCTGCTGCAGCCTCACCGCCTCAAACACGGCGCTGAAGTCATCCCTCCCATGCCCCTCCCGCCTCGCCTTCTTAAACACCTCGTTCGCTGCTGCCGCCACTGGCAGCGGCTGCGCCAGCTCGTCCCCCAACCCGAGAGCCAGACGCAGATCCTGTGGGTTTCAGATAATTGGGAGATGGAGGGGGGCAGGGGTGGGAGATGGAATTAACGGACCAAAGGATTGAAGGGGTAGGAGTGGAGGAGGCATGAAAGGATGGTGTGGGGTGGAATCAGGCAAGAGGGGAGCAGGTGAGCGAGTGAAGAAGATGGGGCGCGAGGCATTAAGAAAGAGCAGGAGAGAAGGCGGGGGGCAGAGGGAGGAGGAGGGGGGGGGCAAGGGGAGGCACGGAGAGACAGAGAGGGTACGAGAAAAAGAGAGCTGAGGAATAAGAGAGAACATCTAGAGAAGTTGGGAGTTAAGGGGCATGAGGAAAGAGGGACGTGTGGAGAGAGGGGCGTGCCTTCTGCTGGTGCTTGAGTGGGAAGGCAGGTGAGTAGGTGCCGTTGACCATGAGAGGGCCCTTCATGGAGAACATGGGGCTGGCGATGGCGCCCTGCTCTATCACCTGCATGTGCACATGCATGTGCAGTCATGTGCATATGCGCATGCATGAGCATGTGAAAGTGAGATTGGAGTCATCACACGTATGTCAGCAGACACAATGATGCCGGCAAAGCAAGCACAGGATGGTGTTGGCGTGTAGCTCACTCTCGCCAGCTCACCTGGAGGATGGTGTTATTTTCCAGCCCTACTCGCCAACTCTCTCTACTGGACTGGAGGATCGTGTTCTTGCCTACCCGCCTACCCACACCTACCCACACCTACCCGCCTCTTGTGCAGCTCACCTGCAGAATGGTGTTCTTGTCGAGCCCTACTCGCATATTCTCTTCATTATACTGGAGGATCGTGTTCTTGCCTACCCGCCTACCCACACACCTACCCACACCTACCCACACACCTACCCACACCTACCCACACACCTACCACACCTACCCACACCTACCCTCCTCTCGTGCAGCTCACCTGGAGGATGGTGTTCTTGTCCAGCCCGACTCGCTCGCCCAGCGCTAGCCCCTCTGCGAATGCTGCCATCATGCTGCGAGGCGGAAAGTCAGAGAAGGGAGGAAGCGGGCAGAGAGAAGGGCAGAGAGAGTGCACTTTGTGAAGTACCTCCATTCCCAGCAACAAAACAACTTCTCAAGGCAATACGTGATGAGAATACCAGGAAATCATGCACTTCATTTTTGAGGCGCCTCAAAAATAGACTCCTCACGCAAGGCAATACGTGATGAGTCTACAAGGAAATCATGCACTTCTCCACGCATGTACGTGAGCCCTCACCTGCCCATGGCCGTGTTGACGACCACCTTGCTGGCAAGCGAGTCTCTTCGGAGGGCAGTGGGACCCACTGCCCTCTGGAGAGGCTTTGAGGCACCTCAAAACACAACAAGAGCGCAACACTTGTGCATGAGCAGGTGGGTGAGAGTGGGTGGGTGAGATTTACAAGTGGGTCGTCACCTGCCCATGACCATGGTGCCCACTAGCTCATTGACGCACCACTGCCCTCCGGAGGGGCTTTGAGAGGCACCCCTCAAACCACACACGAGCTGCAAGCAACAACTGTGCAGGTAGGCGCTAGGTGGGGGTCAGAGAGACCTCACCTGCCCATGACCATGTTGACCACCAGCTTCATAGACGCGCCACTGCCCTCCGGTCCCAGAAAGAACGTGGACTGTGGGGAGGTGCCAGCAGGCAGAGGGGTGAGAGGGGGGGAAGGAGGGAAAGAGGGCGGGAAAGAGCGAAGCAAGGTGAGGGAGGGAGGGAGGGGAGGGGAACGAAGAGAAGATAGGGAACACGCAGAAACACACTCGCATGCGAGTATGTGTGACGCTGTAGCATGGGTGTGTGCGTGTGTGAGGCTGTAACATGGGTGTGTTCGTGTGAGGCTGTAACATGGGTGTGTGCGTGTGTGACGCTGTAACATGGGTGTGTGTGTGCATGACGCTGTAGCACGATGTAGCATGCATGCATACATGCATGCACGCACGTTAAGTCAAGAGCCTCACCTTGCCCATGATGTCCAGCATGGGCCCAGCGCGCTCGCACAGGTCCGGGGGGTCTCACAGGTCCAGGTGCCTTTGCTGCTGCACACTCAGTTAGTCGTGGGGCTTGCAGTGCGTGCATGACATGTGCATGGAAGAGGCTAGAGGCTCACCTTGCCCATGATGTCCAGCATGGGCCCAGCGCGCTCGTACAGGTCCCAGTCGCCCCCTGCGAGGAAGATGAGCGTGCCGTCCTCCGCTGGCTTCTTCGACCCCGACACTGGCGCCTGCAGGGGGAGAAAGAAGAGGGGAAGGGGCGAAAGGTGGGAATTGGGGAATGGGAGGGGACAAGTGAAAGAATTGAAGAAGTTATTTCAGAAATGGAATCAGGAGCATACATTGGAAAGTTGGGAAGGAAGGGTAGCTAGTGAGAGAAGAATGAACAGTACCACATGCAGTTGGGTAGGAACAGTACCCAACCACCACGGGAGCGACTTGCGTGGTTCCATAATTGTGGTCTTGGTGCTCGGGGGCTCCAACCACGAGGGGGTTGGATTAACACCCCTTGCACTTTGATGTGTAAACCACAGGTTGGTGTACACCTAGCTAATATACTAGTCTAGCATGTTACACTTGATATATATAATCTAACAACAAGAACAATTGGGACAAGAACAAGGGAGGCCGTGGCACTTGTGAGAAGGTTAGTGCGCCATCCTCCGCTGGCTACTTCAATCCTGACACTGGCGTCTGCCGGGGGAATAAAAGTGAATAGAAGGAGGGAAGGGAAAGAGGGAAGAGGGGGAAGTGCCAGTGGCCTGCACTGCATTGCCTAGCGTGATTGCTCAAGGCAAAGAACCCCTTTCCCCCCAATCCGAACCCCCCACCCCCCACGCCCCGTCCCCGTGCTTGACCCCCGTCAACCCTCCAATCATGCAGCCAGGCCAGGCAGGCACCCCTCAGGCACCCCTCAGTGCCTCACAACGCACAGACCTCCAGGAACTGACCGTCAGCGGCTTGCACCACCTGATGTGATTGCAAGGCCCACAAGCCGATCCCTCCCCCCCCCCTCCCCCCTGTTCACCGACCTGCAATCATGCTGCCAGGCCAGGCACCCCTCCGGCACCCCTCAGGCACCCTCAGGCACCCCCAGGCACCCCCAGGCACCCCCAGGCACCCCCAGGAACCCCTCACAGAGCACACAGACCTCCAGGAACTGAGCTCCTGTGGCCCGCACTGCCTGAGCCACCTTGACAGCTGTCTCCACATCCACCGTTGATGCGTCCACGTAGCTGGGGGCGGAGACGGTTGGGGTGGGGGGGCGGGGGGAGAAAAAGGGGGAAAGGACCAGGGTGGTATGGTGTGGCGCAAGGTGCAAAAAAACGGCATCCGTATTAAACGGTCCGTTTTAAACGGCCGTTTTTTACGGTGGGTTTTGGTAAAAAACGACGTTTTTTTGTTAGACTTTTTTCATGAATTTTGTTTTATGTATTAAAAGCACGCGTAAACAAAGTGGCCTGATTGCTAAGACGGCCTGCATCGTGCTGCGGGGTAATTAGCGGCTTTGAAACAGGTATGTGATGTCCATGCCCCTAGTCCGTCGCCTTCTAGGTCTCATTCTGCTCCTACTCCACCATCCCCCCCATCCTCCTCCTAAGCGTCATCCATCTAGTACTCCCCCCCCTAGTCCTCCCCCCTCTAAGCATTATTAGCTCGGCCAAAAACAATGTACACCGTATTATACGGTGGTACGAAAAAAACGGCCGTATAAAACGGCCGTTTTTTTGCACCAAACGCAAAATGCAACTTCCGACCGTTTTAATCGTATTATACGACCGTTTTATACGATCCCGTTTTAAACGGTCAAAAAAGGTAAAAAACGCCGTTTTTTTGCACCTGGGTGTGGCGGCATGGTACGGTATGGCATGGTATGGTATGGTATGGTATGTGCTGGAGTGGCATGGTTTGTTGCACATGCCTTATTCAGCGAGTATTTGGACGTGCGGGACACACACATATGGACGTGAATACGGATCCACGCACACGCACATGCACATGCACATGCACACACACGTGCACATGCACATCCACATGCCCATGCACGTGCGCTTGCACTGGCATTTGCACAAAAGCATGCAGAGTGAGGCATGAAAGGATACCTAGGGGCCTACTGGTCCACCACACTCCGTGTCTCACCCTTTTCCCACCTTCAATCCAGTTTTGAGGCGCCTCAAAACTAGACTTCTATCACGCGGTTTTTGAGGCGCCTCAAAACTAGACTTCTATCACGCGGTGTTTGAGGCGCCTCAAAACTAGACTTCTATCACGCGGTTTTTGAGGCGCCTCAAAACTAGACTTCTATCACGAGGTTTTTGAGGCGCCTCAAAACTAGACTTCTATCACGCGGTTTTTGAGGCGCCTCAAAACTACACTCCGAGTCTCACCCTTTTCCCGCCTTCAATCCCTCTGCTGCGCCTTCTGGCCCACATGCCACTTCCAACTGCACACACACACACACACATGCATGGACATGCACACAAGCATGCACACACCCATGCATGGGCATGCACACAAGCATGCACACACCCATGCATGGGCATGCACACAAACATGCACACACACATGCATGGGCATGCACACAAGCATGCACACAAACATGCATGGGCATGCACACAAGCATGCACACACACATGCATGGACACGCACACAAGCATGCAACCACATGCGTGGACACGCACACAAGCACACAAACACATGACAGATATGGAATGGAGAGAGTAATAAGAGGGGGGCATGACACTGTTTGTGCGTCTGTATGTGTGGACGTGCGTGTGTGTGGGGTGGGGTGAGGGGGGGTTGGTTGAGTGGTTAGGTGGGTGTGTGCGTGTGCGAGTTTTGAGTGAAGGCCGTTGTGTCATGAGGCACGTGAGGACTCACAGCAGCAATGGGGTCAGAGAGCATGGTGATGCCACACGCCGCTGTAACTGCTGCCAGTCATGCATGGGCGTGTGCATGTGTGCGTGTGCATGTGTGCGTGTGGGTGTGTGTGTGTGTGTGTGTGTGTGTGTGTGTGTGTGTGTGTGTATGTGTGTGTGTGTGCGTGGGTGTGAGTTTGTTAGTGTGTGTGTGTGAGTTTGTGTGTGTGTGTGTGAGTGAGTCTGTGTGTGTGTGTGCGTGTGTGTGTGTGCGCGCGCGCGAGTGCGTACAATGTGCGTGTGCATGCGATGCGGGTTGGTCGGCACGCCTCACGGCGACTCACAGCAGCAGCAGGGTCAGAGAGCATGGCGAAGGTGATGTCGCACGCCGCTGTCACTGCTGCCGCTGTTGGCGCCGCACTGCGACATCACAGCAGGCAACGAAAGCAACAAAAGAAAAGAGAGAGCGACAAAGCAAGCCTGGTGTGGAGCAGCAGCAAAGGGAGCTTCATTCATTTAGAATTCTCGAAGATTAGCAGCGGGAAGGAGCCAGCCAAAGCGTAGTGGCAAAGGGCAGGAGCAGGCGGGCAGGCGGGTGGCCATTCCTTGGGAGTGAAACGAAGAGTAAACTAGAGTAAACTGGGGGGAATCATCCTGGTGACGAAGGAGACACCTCTGCTCGAGTGCACCACCCTGTTTTATTTAGATGTCTCAAAAGTTCAATACGCACTCGCAATTACAACCGCTACCATCCCTCTCCTCTCACGCACACCAGACGCCCTTCCCCCACAACACTCCTACCCACCATCCCTGTTTTATTACACGGTTACACGGTACCCCGAGCGCACCAGCCGCAGCACAGGAAAGGGAAGAGTACCTGTTTGATTTGGATGAAACGCATGTTCTCTAAAGCACCACCCACCCAGCACTCCCACCCACGCAACCACCATCCCTCTTATGCACACCAGACAGACACCCTCTCCTCAGCCCACTCCAGCCAGGCCCACTCCCCTCGAGCGCCCCCTGGCTCGCCTGGCCACACTCACATGGCCCCGGCCTCGACGAGCGGGCGGGTCTTCTTGGGGCTGCGGTTCCACACGGTCACACGGTACCCCGACCGCACCAGGCGCAGCGCCATGGCCGTGCCCATGATGCCCAGCCCCAGGAAGCCGATCGTGGGGATGGCCGCTGCATGCAGGGGGCGCACGAGTTAAAAGGGGGGTAAGGGGGCGGGGGGGGGGAGGGGGGGGGAGAGAGATTTGGATGTGTTGAGGGGAAGAGCTCTGGTCCATACTGTCCGGGCCACACTCGAAGCAGCGCCATGACTGGCCGTGCCCTGCCAGGAAGCCGATCGCGGGGATGGAAGCAGCTGCGCGCAGAGCAGGGGAGGAGGAGAAGGAAATGGGTGCTCCGAGGGAGGGCACTGGCCTCCATACCGTGGCGGACTGATAGGCATTGCATACGTTGTGTTGAGTGTTAAGCGCGGCTGAATAACAAAATGTGCCCATTTTTGGCTTCACGCCTGATACTATTACGCACACTCCTCCTCGCCGCCAGGCCCCATGATCCATTTTTTCCCTATCTGAAAATGCCATCACCAGAAAATGTCATTAGCAGAAAATGACAGCAACAGAAAATGCCTGCACCAGGAGATACCTGCACCAGCAACGACCTCCCCGCGCGCAGCAGCAGCGCGCGAGCTGAGAGCGCGACTGCCCTCTGAGCGCGTGCTGCTAGCCTGAATCGCGCGATCCCGCAGGTTGCGCTGGCCGCACGCGCCGAGGAGATGAATCGGCTCCGGCGCATTGGGCGCGGATGCTGACCGCGCGACGGACGCAACGGCGGGGGTAGCGCCTGGGGTAGCGCCTGCTTGGCGGGAGAAAGTCGCTGGAACGGAGGAAGAGAGTGGCACCACGGCGCCGAAAAAGGAGGAGGGGCGCCTCGCCGGCACGCAGCGGAGCATTGCGGAGACGGGACGAGCGAGCGGAGTCACTGCTGCGAAGGCCATGGCTGATCTCAGGACTGGTGTGGGGGGATGATGTTCGAAAATTGGTCTTTGTTGATGGGCATTTTAAGATGCGGAACCTCGCTATTGCATGCATCCTGTATCCTTTACAAGGTGTGGTACAGCTCCATTACTTTGTGCCCATCAGAATGCCCATTTGCTTGTAGAAATGGGCGTTCAGATGCTTGTCCAAAAGGGTAGATTGCATGCGGGGAGTTTAGGTTTTTTTTTTTTTTTTTTTTGGTGGTGGTTTAGGGACTCAACATTTTATCTATAAGCGTAAAAGAGTTCTTGCTTTGGATTTCTTTTTTCTATGGTAATTGAAGACAAAGTGAATAATATAAGAACGCTTATGACACGCCCCAGTCTAAGGATATCCTTGAAAGCGACAATTCTTTTCTGTGAGCAATACGTTTTACCGAGCTCTCCAGTTGCAGGTTTCTCAAGTCGCACTGGTCGAATCTATATGAGATTCTCCGGAATTCGATACGGTTGTGGGCTTCTGTTTCGAAAACAATAATTTGCATAGATTTTTTCCTTCGGTTCCCATCAATCGCACCGCTCGAACAGCTGGCAATTGCCAAAACTGACAGATACCTTGGGTTGACGGCTAGGTAGGGCTGCCTCGAGTCTCCACAGGCTTGTTCGTCACATGACAGGACATCACGTGGAGCCAAGGGAAACAGCAGATGCAAGAGGCCAGCAGCAGGGCAACGCAATTTTGTGGAGGGCTCCTTGACTCGGATATTCTTCCTGAGGGCGTGTCACTAAAGTACACCCGATTGCGGTTCGCTAGGTTACTTGACGTTCTACAGCGGTCAAATAAAGTTTTACAACGTTTGAGTACGGTATTTAACGAAAACCATTGATTCACGCAGAGTTCCACTGTGCGAGACACATCCCGTAGCAGTTCCTGAAAATCTTTCATACACGTCCTCCTGAGCAATGTCCTCCTCAGCACACCTGTTTCGAGCGAACCGCCGACAGGGCCATGCTACGGTTTACATGTACACGTACAGTACAGAACACTAGCATAACATCAGATCTGGCATGCACTCCAGTCCGCCGCCTCCACGCCACGAGCTCACCTTGTGCTTCTTCGCGCGCTCATGGACACCACTTTTGATCGATCGCTCGCACCGCCTGTGTTCTTCCCTAACTGATCCTCCCTGCATGATGCAACCTTTCACCACGCAATCACTTCTGTTACGTCATCGCTCACCATCGTTCCTTCCTGTCGCCCTTGTCTCTCAGATGTCGGAGGCACGACACACAATCACTCAACGCTTTGCCTTCCTTGTAGGTCTCTATTGCAATGTCTAAAGTATCCACGAGAGCACAGCAACCACGCCAAGAATTCCCCGTCTCCTCCTCCTCCTCCTCCTCCTCCTCCACGTCTTGTCTGGTCTCTCTCTTTGCACCACCAGGTCCTCCGTCAGGTTAGTCTTATCCCTAGTACCACCAGGACGAAGTCTGCTCGTTGCATCATTTGAAGCAGGACTAGCAGTAGATGATCTAGCTCACAAGCGCCCGTTTCTTGTTCGCTGTCTCACCTGATTTAAACCGTGGAAGGGCCTGACTGGGTCATACCGCCGTGCACGGAAGGAATTCTATCAAGCTGATCCAAACCACAGACGCCCCAGCTAGAGCACATCTCCTTGAATGCCCGTTTCGTTTCATGCATCGTTTCGTCTCGTTTCGTTTCGTTGCTAGGCCAATTCAGGAACTGTCCTCACGCCACACAAAAAGTCGCAGCAGCAGCAGCAGCAGCAGCCATGGCGGCTTCTCTCAGACGAAGCATGTTCATGCGACAGGACGCAGCGAGCGGCGTGGATGTTTCTCGTCAGCCCACCAGCCTGCACCACCACTCTGCGGCTTTCACTGGTCCCTCGGCGCGCAATTACTGCGGGCCACCTTCTCCCCGTCTATATACTGCCGAGAAGATTGCCGCTAGTCGTACCACTAGTGGCAGTGGCACAAGTAGTACCGCGATCGTTGGTGGCAACAGTGTTCTTAATACTACCGGGACTGCCACGGCTACTAGCAGCGCGAATGACTTGAAAGCAGCAGAACAACGGCGGCGGCAGCAGCAGCAGCAGCAGCAGCAACAACAGCAGCAACAGCAGCAGCAGCAGCCGCCGCCGCCGCCGCAGCTGCTTGGCTACTATGGGAACAAGGTGGCGCCTGCACCGCTCGGGAATTGCAGAACCAGCGTCCCAATAATCGCCGAGCACCACTCCGCTACTGGTTCTGGTACTGGTAGAACTACCACTCATGGTATTAATCCTACCCCCAGCCCGCGGGGCCCACGGAACTTTCACATGAAATCTCCTCTTTTGCCGCCGGCCACTGGCTCCGCATGCGCAGGAAGCGGCGGTGCAATCGCCGACGCCGCCGCCGCCGCCGCCGGGAGCAGCGGAGCCATCCGCGGACCTACCGAGGCGGCTTCAGTTCCGGTTGACCTGTATGCGGCACACTACAGAAGCACGTCCTGGCCGCCTGGAAGCAGCAGCGGCAGCAGCAGTGGCAGCAGCAGCATCCCCAACCGGGGTGGTACTAGTACCAGGAACTGTGCCGTCACCGTCGCCACTACCGCTACTGCCGCTACCGCCGATCCTGCCGCTGCTAACAATAACGTTGTCGTGGACAGTACTGGCGGCAGCAGGGTAAAGCCGGCCATGGCGGTGGTAGTACATGGTAGTGCCACCGCTGGGGAGCCCTACCAATATCAGTACAACAGTCCGACTGGAATGAGTCACACTCATCTCTCGCCGCGGGCGGGAAGGGATCCGCAATCGAGCCCCGCGGCCGCCCGGTTAACCGTTCAACGGCGAATGAGCGCGAGCGCGGAGGTCGCGCCGACTTCGCCGCCGTCTGTCGCGGCGGCTGTTGCGGCGAAATCAGCGCCGGCTGTCGCGCTGACGGATGCGGAGGCAACCAGCGGGCATGCGGGGAGCGACATGCGCAGCAGGGGGGGTGTATTTCAGAGCACCTTGGCTGGTGCGGGGCATCATGTCTCGAGGCCCACGCGCGGACTGGAAAGGATGGACTCGGATGAGGAGTTTCTCCGGATGTACGAGCTTATAACGAGTACGGGTGGCATCGGGGGAGCAACATCACCACGAATGAACGGTTCGGGAGCTGGTGCGAGTGTACACTCAACACAAGAGTTTACTTACAAAAGAACAATTCAAAGGCCTGTGGTGAAGTCCGCGATATTGGCTCAGTCAAACTACTCACAAGCGCAAACTTTCTGCCACCGCCAATCGCAGACCAAATCTGGAGATTCCGACAGGGCATGTGTAAATTTCTTTGGAAAACGATCAGCAAAGTTAGCTCCCACCGCAACCGCCGCGAATGCCGGAGCAGCTGCCGCATCCGCAGCGGTAGTATCGCCTACTTCTCCATCCGCCGCTCCTCCGCTATCCCCCGAGCGCTGCGGAACGTTCCCCCAGACGTCTCCCAGTTGCCGCACTGGTGTGGGGTCCAGCGGCTCGTTCTTAGGACCTGCTAGGGCATACAGCCTTAATATTGCTCGAGTGGAGGGTGCAGGTAGCCTGAATCCTAGCAGCAGCGGTGGCAGAGCTTGTAACTTAAGCTTAGGCAGTGACAATGGCAGAGACAGGATCAGCAGGAACGGTAACCAGGGTGGGCGAGGTTTTCATGGGGATGCTGATGTGGATTTATCCACGGTAGAGGGAGCATGGCAGGAACTGAGATTGACTGGATCCGCAGATGGCGGGAAGGAACGGGAGGAGGGGTTGCCAGTGCCTGTTGCTGTGCTGGTGGGAATGGCGGCAAGGGAAACTTCATGGCATTGTGGGGAGACGACGCTTCAGAGTCAGCCGCAGCAGCAGCAAGAGCAGCAGGAGCAGGAATTTCTGCGGCAGCAGCAGCAGCAGCAGCAGCAGCAGCAGCAGCAGCTACGGAACAGCGTAGGGCGGCATCATCGGCGTCGAGTGAGTTTCAGTGGCGTGGTTGAACTGATCGACCAAGCCACTCAAGGCACACACGACAGGGACCAAGACTCATGGAAAGTGCTATCAGAAGCCACTGCAAACTCAAGTGTTGCTGCTGCTGCTGCTGCTGCTGCAGCAGCACCTCAAGCAGCAGCAGGCAAGGGCGGAAAGAGCAAGCGTCAGGGCACCATTCTAGCTCAGCAACAAAACAACACGCACCTTGTTACTGCAGCAGCACGTGGAGCAGCACTGACACCAGCAGCACCAACAGCGGCAGGAGGTTCAGCAGCAGCAGCAGCAGCAGCAGCAGCAGCAGCAGCATTGCTATCACCTGGACACCGCCTGGTGCATCCTGCAAATGTCAAGAGGATCAGCATTGACAGTAGGATATGTGGTAGCATTGGCAGTGGCTACAATGGCAGGTGCAAGTCTGCTAATGCTGCCTGTATCGCAAGTAGTGCTGCTGCTGCACGGGCGCTTGCTGCGTGCTTAGATGAGTGGGACTATTCTCCTTAGTTGCTTGGCTAGTTAAAAGTTCCAAACTGGTTTTGTCATAATTTACTACAGTATTATTTGAGTTTTGTTCTTACCGTACCTTTTCTGCGGATGTGGGTAAAAATTTTACTAGAGGTTGAGCATGCAGCGACGCAGTACACATCGCGTACATGCTACAGACTGTTGATCATGCTTGATCATGCGCGTTCCAGCACCCTTACACCGTCAGCAGCACATATTCAGCTGCTACGAGGTCTACATTATTCCATGCTTAAATATGTAAAGCTAACTGATGGGAGAGCAAGCAAGACCCACTACACTGCCCTGTGTCCTCAAGACCATAAGACCATGCACAACGAACAACTCTTGGAGACTTAACCCGTGTTCTGCATCCCAGCCGCAATACCCTTCATGGTGATGATGAGCGTATCCTCCAGGCCCGGCGCATACTCCGAGGCGAGATTCAGCGTCACGACTTCAGAAGACTTGTTGTGCTTCATGGACCCTCCGCTGCTCCCACTGCTCGTGCGCACCACCGGCAGCCCGCTGCCATTGCTGGCAGCAGCAGCGAAGGCCGAGGCATGGGCGCCTGAGCGCATGCGCTTGAGGGTGAGCACCTGCTGGACGTTGAGCGGTGTGATGTAGGGCTCTCGGATGAGCAGGCGCTGGCGCAGGGGGGCGTTCCCTTCCAGCACAACGGAACGGCCGGTGATCTGCGCACACAGCAAGGAACAGGAACGAGAGAGAAAGAGAGAGAGGGACAGAGTTTTTGAGACTTCCTTGCCTGCACAAGCTCTGTACCTTACTGCCCATCTCGACTCTCGCCATCTCTTCCGCCCCCCGCACTTCCTCATCCCATCCCTTCAGACTCCATGCCTCATGCATGCCCACCTCATCTCTCCCCAACCTGCCTCCCCCTCCACTCCCATCCCCTCCCCTCCTCCCCTAAGCCCTGTAATGGCACCTCTCTTCACACCATCCCATCCCTCCTTTTCCTCTCCACCAGTCCCCCCCCCTCTCACCTTGAGGATTTGCTCGCGGGCCTCCTCATACTTGCGGCGCAGGTCAGCGCCAAACTCGTGGAGCGCAGGGTCCGCGAGCTCCTTCTCGTAGAGCGCCGCCACACGGGGGTCGCCCTTGGCGAACACCATCTCCACCAGGTCGATGGTGACGCGGAAGAAGGGCCAGTTCTCGTACATGTCGCGCAAAATGTCCAGGTTCTTGGCGTCGCGCTCGAGAATGCCGCGGAAGGCGGCGGACAGACCCAGCCACACGGGCAGATGGAAGCGAGTCTGTGACGGGTGGGGGAAGGGCACGGTACAAACAGGGTATGCCGCGTGAGAAGGGCAGTCAATAGAGGCGTGTGGTTGCTTGGTATGGGAGGAGTGAAGGGTTCACGCAGAGGCGGGCAGCAGAAGAATGCACAAACGTGCAGGGATGAGGAATGTTTTATGGGAAGAGACACATGTCCAGGACAAAAGGAGGGACAGAAGAAAGACAGAAGGAGACAGAAGCAGTACCTGGGTCCAGGCAAAGATCCACGGGATCGCACGCAGGGTCTCCACACCGCCACCAGGCTTGCGCTTGGACGGGCGGCTGCCAATGTTCATGCGGGAGAACTCCGTCTCAGGGGTCACCTGGTGGGGGGGAAGGGGTGGGCGAGGTCAAATGTGTGGCGGGAAATGGGCGGGGACAGCGAGGAGGGAGTGGGAAATTAACAACAAGTGGATGGCAGGGAGTTGGAGGTGCAGGGGAGACGGAGAGAGGGGGAAAAGGAGGGCAGGAGGTGTGGGGAGGGGCAGGCAGGGAGGTGGTGGGGGGGGGGGGGGGGGGGAGGGGATGGAGGCGGGGGACTGGGAGGGTTGAGAGGGGCAGGGCGCATGTTGAGGGGAAGGGGTGGAAACGGAACTTACGGCTCGGAAGTATTCGACGAATCGCGGGTGCTTGAAGACGATGGAGCGGTACTCCTCGGTGGAGAGCGGCGACATCTCGTCCATGAGCTTCACCCACTCAGGCTTGGGCGTCACCGGGGGGTGCATGCCGTGCTCCAGCGTGGCTGGATTTAACCAGAAACGGACAGACACGGGACAGACAGCAGACAAAAACGCCACAGGGAAGACGAGTGGGAGGAAAGGGGAAGACGAGTGAGGATTGGAAGCGGGGATGGGGGATTGGTGAGGAATGTGGGGAATGGAGAGCTCGCCGTGAGGGAAATGCAGGCAGCAGGAGGTGAATGAATGGATGGAGCAGAGACTTGCAACAAGGGGGGGAGGTTTGGGGGCGGGGGCAACGGAGGGTGTATGTAGGGGCCATATGAAATTATGTTTCAATCTCCTGTTCTGCTTTCTTCTCTTGGTCCTGGTCCATGTCATCGAGGAATGGTTTCGAATTAGGTTGGATGGTCTCCCCAAGCATCGACACCCCCTAAATCAAAATAACACCGCTGAAAACCCACTTTCAAAACCCTCTCCCCTCTCCCTCCCCTCACCCCATCTCCCCTCTCCCATCCGCTCACCAGCAGTGAAGCGCTGCAGCGTGCGGAAGCACAGGTGCTCCTCGCCAAACGACTGCTCAATGACCTCGCCCTGCACCGTCACCCTCAGAGACCCGTCCACAGACCCAGGCGGCTGCGACAGAATAGCCAGATGGGTGGGGCCGCCACCACGCCCCACAGTCCCTCCCCTGCCGTGGAAAATCGTCAGGTGCACCCCGTGCTTCCCCGCCACTTCGACCAGGTTCGCCTGGGCCTTGTACAGCGCCCATGCCGCGGCCAGCCGCCCGGCATCTTTCCCCGAGTCGGAGTACCCAATCATGACCTCCTGCCGCCCGTTGATGATCTGCTTGTAGTACGGGATGCTGAGGAGCGAGTCGAGCACCACAGGCGCGTTGTTGAGGTCGTCCAGGCGCTCAAAGAGCGGCACCACGCGTCGGGCGGGCGTCACCCCACACGCCTTCTGCAGCAGCTGCACCTCCAGCACGTGCGAGACGGACGTCGCCATGGAGATGATATACGCCGAGAGGGAATCTTCCGGGAGTTCCGCCAGCACGTTGAGGGTCGAGATCACCTCGCGGACCTCGTCCGACATGGGCATGTCAGGGCCGAACAGCGGCCGCTTGCTCTGCAGCTCCATAACCAGCCATTCCACCTTCTTCTCCTCCGTCCACTCCTTGAAGCTGCCCAGGCCCAGGTGCTGGGTGATGGCGTCCACGGCGTCAGTGTGGCGGTCCGACTCCTGACGGATGTCCAGCTTTACCAGGGAGAGCCCGAAGCAGGCGACCTGGCGCAGGAAGTCGAGCAGCTGGCCCTCGGCAATGGCTCCGTCCAGGGAGGCGTGCAGGGAGCGGTAGCAGAGCTCAAGAGGCTCCATCAGCTGCCGGGGGGCAGGGTGCACGTGGGGGGAGGGAGGGAGGGGGGAGGGATGAATGACAGGTGAACGGGAGGGGTTAAGTGAGAGAGGCAGCAGGGACGCGCGAGGGAGGCAGAGAAACGTGGCACACAGAAGGCGCCAAGCATGCCTGAAGCATGCTTTTGAGTGAACTAAAAAGCAGAGCAAGGCGACACGCACAGGCGGCACACCAAGCAAGCGCACCTGGGAGGCGGAGGTGTAGATGTCCTCGGTGCTGAAGGTGGAGTGGCCCGAAACCATGAGCTGCTGGTAGTGGTCGCGCGTGTTCCACAGGCGATCGCGCACCTCGCACAGCACCACGCGGTACGGCTCATTGCCTGGCACCTGCTTCCAAAACTCTGCAGCGCGGGTGAAAGAGACCACGTAAGTGACCAGAGTGAGAAAAGAAAGGGGGAATGCGAGAAAGTGACCAAGAGTGAGGAGAAACGGGGGACAGGGGGGTGGGGGAAGGGGGAGGAAGAAGGGATGAGGACAGGGTGTATGGGCGATTAGGACTGGCTGAAAGACCTGTGAATTGTGGCAGCGAGTGGTGTCTCACCAATGTAGTGGTTGCTGTGCTTCTTGGCCCCTGCTTGCACTGCCTGCGCCCTCTCCTTGAGCTCGTCGCTTCCCCTCCACATGGACATCTGCCGCGAGAAGGGGAGAGCACGGACGGAGGCCAACACGGAGGAAGCGAGGCGAACACGAAGGGTACAGGGAGGGAGGGTGGGAGAAAGAACAGGGATGAGGGGATCAGTCAACGAGGGCAAAAAACCAGTCAATCATGCAGGGAGGCTGTAGACCAGTTACAGATATGGTGTAACGAGATACAGATGACACATCCACGGATGGCCACACAATATCCTAAACGCCAAGGGGTAGCCGAGGGGTGGCCGAGGGGTGGCCTGGTTCTGAATTGGAACGAGAATGAGGCTGAACGGAAGGTACTGCATTCGGGTAGAAACGAGAAAATAGGGTGGAACGGAGGAGGGTAGGGGTGGGGCTGGATCGAGACTGTAGAGGTACTGGCCTGTGCGGGGGGAAGGAGGGCGTACCGCAAAGAGGAGCTCCTCGATCTGCGCGATGTAGAGGTTGACGACCATGAGGCGCGACAGCAGCACCACGTCACGGGTCACGGACGCCGTCACGCGGGGGTTGCCTGCGGTGGTGAGCAGCCATCACAACCAAGGCAGGAAGGCACGAAAGCACGAAAGCAGGAAAGCAGGAAACCGTTGAGGGTTAGGTAGTCGATCCGGGCAGGATCCATTAACCGTGAACCCTCCGCGGGACAGTTCGTAATCCTAGACGCGCATGAGAAGGCTTGTGGAGAAGGGATTGGTATTACACTAGCCATCGAGCAGAGGAGCACCTAGACTGCAATAGAGAAACACACAGCGCGCTGTGACCAGAATTTCCTACTGTGGTGGGTGGGTATCCCCTTATTATTATTCATATGCATTTCCTAGAAGACCGGCGAAATTGGGCGCAGATGAGGTGTTGCAAATCAAAACTACGCCAGGTGGACGGGTGGGGAAGAGGAGGGGAGGGAGGGGAGGAGGTGGGGAGGAGGGGGTAGGGGACGGGGCGACGAGCGGGGAGGCGAGGGGGAAAGGGGACAGGGGAAGTGGGGAGAAAGGCTCTCACCATCCCTGTCACCGCCCATCCAGGAGGAGAACTGGATGATGGGGATGTTGTACGGCAGGCGCTCCTCAATGCCGATGCTGCGCAGGGCGGTGTCGACACGGCGCAGGAACTCGGGCAGGCCCTTCCAGATGGTCTCGTAGAAGTAGCTCATGCCCGCGCGCATCTCGTCCTGCGGCGTCGGCTGCGTGCGCCGGATCTCGTCCGTGCGCCACGCCGCCTGGATCTGTTGGTGGCCGTCGTTATCGCGGGGAGGTAGAAGATTTAGTTGTGGAGGAGGGGAGGGGAGAGGCGGGCCGGGAAGAAGAGACGGACCCATGGAGAGGGGCGAAACGGAAGAGCAGGAGCCATTGGGCGTCTAAGAAAACGGATAAGCAAAGAGATGAAGACACATGGCAGGATCCCTGTCTTTCCAAAGGACTGGAAGACTGAACGCTACGGCCAATCGGGCCTACGCACCTCCCGCTTGAGAGCCTCCTCCAGCTCCTGCTGCCTCTCCTTGGTGTACTTCTGAGCGTGGCGCTGAGACAGCAGGGCACGAATGCTGGCGAAAGGGCACGTCGAGAGCACGGGAACGATAGTGAAAAGTTTTATGGGTTAGCGCTTTCACGGTGCGGACGGATTAACGGACAATTTCCCAACACGGTGCTGTACTTTGCGTTCTAGTCCCGTTCGGGAATTAAAAAATTAACGAGTTAACGGGAATGGATGCTGAGCCTGGAACACGCACGCATACACGTCGGAACGAGCATATCAGGAGCGACCGCATACGTGCTTCTGCAGCAGCGAACGGAGGATGGACTACGTCGGGTGCGCAGTGAGCCTATCGTTGAGGCGCCTAAAAAACAACATACCGGGCGTGCTTCTGCAGCAGGGAGCGGCGGATGGACTGCGTGGGGTGCGCGGTGAGCACGAGGTCGACGCGCTGCTTCTTGAGCTCGTCGAAAATCTGCTCGGGCGTCTTGCCCAGCTTGATCAGCTTCTGGAATGTCTCGGATATGTTGGACTCGGTAAGCGCACTGCCTTCCTCCTCAATGGACCCGACCTTGCTCTTCCGCGCACGATGAGCCATCTGAATCTCCTCTGCGCAGGAGTAAATGCAACAGCGATGGATAACAACAAAATCGGATGGGGATTGATTACGACAGGAATGAAGCAGAAGAGGAATCAGTAGAATACAAAAAAATAAAAGATGAATGAAGTAAGGGAGTGAGGCAACAAAGGCGCCATACCCGCAATGTTTCCCAGCGTCAGCATGTGGGAAAAGGCGGAAGCGAAGAGAATGGACTCAGCCGGGTCGAGGGAGTCGACCACTTCCTCCAGCTTCTTGAGATCCTCGGGATCGTTGGTCGAGTTGTACTGGGACGACAGTCCAAGACATGTTTGGACCTGAGAGGACACAGATAAGAGAGAGATAGGAGATTGTTGTTGAATTAAATAAAAAGGCTGTGATAAAAATCGGAAATAACTGAACACAATTTGATTGTAGAGGACGAGCTACATTAGTTTAGCCAACACCTGCTCACATTCTAAATAGCGGTACGTAGGCTTTCACTTGCTCTTGATTTACGCTGTCATGTCAGAACCGCAGTCTAGCATTACTGTCGTTAACTCATTATTGACAAAGGACAGGTGCGTTATCTCAATAATGTGACCGACTGATCTAAATAACAACCAGCTCACCGCTTCGGCCAGCTCATTCTCCTCGAGCTCCTTGAGCATGTCGAGAAAGCAGTCCAGCAGCAGCTCCTCGTCCTCCACCAGGATATCGTCCTCGCCGACGATAACATTGACCTGATTCAGCGCGTCATGGACCGACAGGTGCGGATCCAGCTCGTGGACCTTCGACATCATCTCGTCAGTAGGCGACATTGTGCGTCGCTGATTAGGGGTTTCCTCGCGAGAAGAGGAGCGGGAGCTGGGATTTGTGTAGTAGGAAGGAGGGATTATGCGCTGACGCGGTGCGAGGAACGGCTGAGCGTGGACGCTAGGGACGCTAGCCGCCTGTGGAAGAATGGTACTTTCCCGCTGGGACGGCGATGACGAATGAGTGTTTAAAAAGCCTCCAACGCGCGGGAGGAGACGGGAGAGGAAGCGCCTAGAAGTCGCCGTTTGCGACGATCTGGCTGCTGGTCCAAGAAGCAGAGTGAGAAATGGGAAAATAAATTTGAGGGAGAGACATATAGGCAGCTAATCTACAGAACCGCACTGGGGGATTCCTCGAGATTGGGAGGTGGTTGGTTGGGATGAGAACAGGACGGTGCATCCCCCAGTGCAGAGAGTGTACAGTACAGACCTTACAGCAAGCAAGAGGGGGGACGAGAGGGGGAACAGGGAAGGGAAGCCGCTGTAAAGCTGCGGCTCTACTCTAAATTCCGTTTCCCCCGAATCCCCAGTCGCGGAAGGATAGTGGAAGCCAAAGTGCACGCAGAACCTTCTGAAAGTTGCCACGTGGTCGAATGCTTCGTGGCCGCAACAAAATAAGGGTTGGTAAGAACCAATGGGAGGCGTTCGACGCTTTTTGCGCGGAATGTGGTGGCGGAGATTGCGCCAGATTGCGGGTTTTGGTTTGGGTAAGCGCAGATTGGGGGTGCTTGCTTGGGTTTCCCCCCCCAACCAGCAAGGCAGCAACGGACTAAGCGATTCTGGGTCTGGGAACACGGTGGCGGGCAGGGCAGGGGATGATCCGGCTGACCAATGGGACCATTCGGATAAGGAGCATCTGGAAAGGCTCTCAGAAACGCATCGTGTTTTCACAACACGCGCCGCGAAAGCTGGAGGCCACCGCAAAATTTACATTGTTCTGATTAGCCAATGTGGCTGCTGGGGACAAGGAAACAGCCGTTGATAGGGTGCCATGTCAGCCAGACCTCTTGCTGTTGAGGACGTGGCTCTGGCTCTTCAGCCACTAAGGGGCTGTTCTAAGCCCACATGGAAGAGCCTCCTCATCCACGTTGACTTATTTTCGACCTCCACAGCGATTGCCACGAAAAGTACTCCATCCAAACTGTTCCAAAATCAGAACCCCCTTCATTTCGGAATTGGATCCACAATCGCAACCCCCTTCACCAGCTGGTGCACTTGCAGAATCTCTTCCACGAGAAGCCAGGGAGCCAAGAATATTCTAGCCCCAAAAACCGACCAGTGACAAGGTCTGCCATGAAACCACAAGGTTCTCAACTAGTCAACGGTTGCTCCATAAAAGAATATCAGGTGTAATGAAGCTAGAAGAGCGTGTGTAGAAGGATTGAGTAACGAGGAAACAAGACAACTTAGAGCAACATCAAAACAGCAGGGAGCATGGATATACCGTAGCTAGCCGAGAACGCACGGTCGTGGCTCAGCAGAGCTCTGACGTGTGGTTCGTAAATTGGCGCGAAGCGCCCAGATCTAGGCATGAAACAACAAGGCGGGAAAAATGCATGTGGCTTGTTATGATATAGGAAGTGTCAATGAACTATAACGTCGGAATCCAAGGTCACTATTGCAATGAAGGCACGAGGTAATATAGGGGTTGGCATGCTAGGGCGATAACTTCAGAACGTGGGTATGTTCGACAATGTGGCGATAGTGCCGGACGCTACTCTGGAAAGGTTGACGCGGCTCGTATAGAAGTTATAGCACTACCCATCGTCAATTTATACATAAATTTGCATATAGAAGTTATAGGCTAGAACAGGTGTGTGTTCTTAGAGAGTACTCTCAGAGTTCGAACGAATGACTAGCATGAGAGTATACAAGAGTATATAGCTAGTGGGTTGTACTCTATGGCAAGCATGTCAGAAAGAATAATAACTAGAATGGGGAGATACAAGGCAATATAGACTAGTGAGCTGTACCCACTAAGGCACAAACATATATAGTCTACAGTAACTGCATAAGCTATGTTTGACACACCCCCTAGACTATTTAGGGGCAGTGCCTAATAAGGGATGAAGCAGCTTAAGGCGGCACTACTAGTCAAGCCTCTAAGACAAGGGTCTAAAGACCAGTCACAAGGAGTACAGACAAGGCAAGAGCAAGACCAGGGCGGCACTACTAGTCCAGCCACTTGGAGAGGCCACAAGGTCAGTCAGGGTAAAAGATATATATATATATATATATATATATATATATATATATATATATATATATATATATATATATATATATATATATATATATATATATATATATATAAATGACAATACAAAGTCAAGGCCCTAGCAAGTGAGAGGCTACAGGAACGAGACCTAGCTGTACACAGTGCTGCTGATGATCTTTAGGCGCAAGCGCCTTCGTAAAGATATCAGCTGTGTTGGCACCGGAGGCTAAGTGTACTACGCGCGCCTGGCGGCGCTGCTGGAGCTCACGCATGAGGAAGTACCGCAGCTGGATGTGCTTCCCTCTGCCCTCGAGTCGAGGCTCCTAACACAGGAGGATCATGGCCCTGTTGTCAGCGTACAAAACCGGGGCAGAGCTAGGCCGCTCACCTAAGTCAGTGAGCAAGAAAGTCAGCCAGCGGAGCTTCTGTGCCGCCATGGCACCAGCGTAGATCTCGACCTCACAGCTGGACTGGGCAACAAACGAGGAGCGGGTAGCTCTCCACGAGACGACACATGAACCAAGGCTGAAGCACTAGCCCTGCGAGGACCTGAGGGTCTCGGCGTCGTCTACCCAAGAAGCGTCCGTGTTTCCAGTAAGGAGCACTGGCCTGTGTCCTCCTAGCACTAACCCCATGCCCGATGTACTTGCAAGATAACGCAAAACCCTCTTAGCGGTAGACCAGTGCTAAGGTCGGTGTCTGCCTGTAGCCACAAAGCGAGCCAGGATGCTGAGAGGGTATGCGAGATTTGGGCGAGTGCATGTCATCAGGTTTATGAGGCAACCCACCAGCTTTGCGTAAGGACCACTTGGCTCTGCCGACTCCTCAGGAACAGGAGCGGAAAGCCTATGGTATAGAGGCAAAAGAGTGGGCTGTGCGGAGAAGAACTGAAGGCCGAACCTCTGAAGGACCTCGCGCACCAAGTGTGACTGAGTCAAAGTGATGGTGCGCGCTGCTCTGTCTCTGGAGATCTGCAAGCCAAGGTAGTGGCTCAGTTCTCCAAGGTCATGCAGGTGTGTCTCTTCAGCAGCTCTGCCTTCACGGAGGCCAATGCGTCCCTGTCTGCCATGGCGAAGACCAGGTTGTCTACGTAAACAAGGATGCAGAACGGGGTCTGACGAGCACGAACGAAGAGCGAGGGGTTTGCAGAGGACGAAAAGAACTGCAGGTCAACAAGCGTAGCACGCAGCGTGTCGTGCCACTTACGGGGAGCCTGCCGCAGGCCATAGACGGGGCGCTGAAGGAGCCATTGGGTCCCAGGAGAGAAGGTATAAGTGAAGCCCTGAGGGGGGCGCAGGTAGACCTGCTTGTGTAGACTGCCGTGAAGAAACGCAGTGGAGAAGTCGAGGGAGTGTAACTCGTAGTCACGCTGAGCTGCAACGTGTAGCAGCACCCGAAGAGTAGTCATCTTCGGGGTCGGAGCAAAGGTCTGGAAGAAGTCCACCCCCTCACGCTGACTGAAACCTCTAGCCACGTAGCTCGCCTTGAACACAGGCGGCTCTCCAGCGGCCATCGACTACGTTCACCCCAGGTGGGGGAACTGCGTCGACGTAGGTGCCGGTGGATCTCCAAGATGCCATCTCCTGCTCCATGACAGCTATCCATTCAGAGACCCAGGGTCCCGAGACCGCCTCAGCGTAAGTGCGAGGGGTCGGGATGTCGAAACCGTCGGGGTCACCCTCAGGGACTAGAAGCATAGAGCAGAGGTGGGGAGCAGCCTTGGACTGGAAAGCAAGCTCGTACTGGCGGTCCTCCAGGACGTTACTGCCAAGGGCAGGAGCACCCCCGACAGACGGAGGATAGGCAGGGTCAGAGACCAGAGCGGTGACATAGTCAAGGCGGTGGGTAGAGGCGAAGTCAGCGACCGCAGCGATAAGGGCGTCAAGACTCGAAACCGGAACAGACGGGTCGGTAACGAGAGAGGCAAGGACCCGAGGAACAAGAGGACGAGCGGCACGCAGGTAGTCAGACAAAGCAGGGGGAGCAACGACAAGGGAGGACGGAGGGGGCGACGGGAGAAGGGGAGGATGAGACGCGTGGGAACGAAGCAACATAGGGTGAGAGCGCGAATCAGGGGAGACAGGTCGAGCACGGGAGGGACGGCGAGACCAGACGTGAGACGGAGGAGTCGGGTCAGGAGACAGAGGAGGGGACCCAAGAGGGGAACGAGGGGGGAAACGGGCCGGAGGCGAGTCAGGAGGAGGGAACATAGGGCCGTAGACAGGAGGAGGAGGAGGCACAAGCGCGGGGTCAGGGGACGGAAGGCCGAGCAGGCGAAGAGCGGACACCGGCGGGGACTGCTGCGGTGGCGGTGTGACATCGACACCGGTACCGCAAGCTTCCTGGCGGCCACCTTGAGAACACTCCACGCCAGCACCCCCAGAAGAAACACCCCCAGAGCTCAGAACCCCTCGATCACCGGTACCACCCCCAGGCCCGCCGGGACAAGCCACGAAAGGAGTAGTACCCACCCCAACTCCAGCACCCCCAGAGGCAACGAACTGCTGCGGCAGCGGCTGCAACGACGGCGGCGGCGGCGGCGGTGGTGACGACGGCTGCGACAGCTGTGGGGACGGCGGCTGCAACAGCGGTGGCGACGGCGGCTACGGAGGCGGCGGAGGAGGAGACACCTGAGAAAGGGCAGGCGGCAAGGACTACGCCGCAGAACCACCAGAGTCAGCAGACTTCTCAACCGGGACAACCGACGGAAGTGGGGTGACGTGGGACACACCAGAGAGGGCAGGATGGGGAGGGGGAGGAGGAGGGGTGGCGACGACCGGGGAAGGGGTGACCAGAAACAGGGGGGGGGTAACAGGGGGACCGCGGTGGGGGAAGCGGCGGAAGAAGGAGACGGACTCGTCAAAGGTGACGTCGCGGGAGTGAAATAACCGGTGAGACGGCGGGTGGTAGAAGTGCCAGTCAGATGCGTCAAGGGGGAAGCCGAGGAAGACACATGGAAGGGTGCGGGCAGTGAGCTTGTCCATGCCAGAGGTACGAACGTGAGCAAGGCAACCCCAGACGTGAAACACAGACGCGCCACCAGGGGACCCAGACCAAAGAAGGGTCGGCGAAACC